TTTTTTTTTTTTTAATTGTTGTTCTTATTATATTGTCACCTAGTTGTATTTGGTCCTGGCTGCCTCCAACCCAAGAGCTTGGATTCAACTTCCCCTGGTCCTGGAGTCTCCAAGCTGTCCTCTATTCCATCTATCTCCAGCACTTTCTCCCCTCAGCTACTTCGTTTCCCGACTGGACACTCGTAAGTGGCTCGGGGTTGCTGATTCGCAGTTACCCTCCCTCTGGTACTTGTCTCATGCTTTTCCTCCTCCGCGCTGCTCTTTTTAGAGCTCATTTTTCCCCGTCTCTGCCCTATCCTTCCCGAGACGCGTGCTCGCTGGGAGGGCGGCAAGGAGCACTCCTGCTGGCACGCGGCACAGCGTCCCCCCGTGTCCCTTGCCAGGCCGGGCGTTATGGGGGCAGTTGGTTCTGGCAGGTGCCCCTCAATCCAGCACCACTAAGATCAGCTCTGTTTCACTTGGCCACAGCAGTATTTTGAAGGCCAGGACGGTCAGGTTCATAGTCTGCATGACTTTATTGCGGTCCTCTCCTTTGTCCTCCGCATCATCACCTTCCTGGTGTCCCATTTTGCTTTGCAACAGGGCCTGTCACCCACGTCCCTGCTGTTTATGTAACCGGCAAATACCAGCGACCCATCGGCTCCAGAAGCTGTTGTGGACTCTTAGCACCTCAGAGGAGCAGACCTCTGAACTGCAGATATTTTAGGACAAGGACTATATCTTTTATGTGTTGCCAGAGTACAAACAGCTCCACGTGATAGTATAGAAATACTACAAACCACAACATCATAATCTGCCCAAGTTGATTACGATAACCAGCCGCCTAAAGACGAGCGAATTTGGCCTTAAGGCTATTCCGCTGCCTCTGGAGACGGGTTGTCTGGAGTCCTCTCCTCCCTGTTCACAGAACTATCGCCGCGACCTCCCGCGCCGGCCCTGCTCCTGCCGCCTCCCAGACACCCCCACCCATGAGGCTCCACTGGAAGTGCTGCCCATCCCTTCTACGAGCCACCCCAGAGGCCTTTTTAAGCCTTTCCCTCAAAAAAGGAGGAATAATAATAACAAAAAAGCTAGAAAAGCATGTCAGTTGACTTTTTTTTTTCTCTTTAACCAATAATCATGTTTAAAGAAATGGATTAGCTGGTCCCAAGGAGCCATCAGGAACAGTGCAGTAACTGGAAACTTTTCCTCTTTTCCAACACTTTTCTCTCCTGTGATTATTACGAAGCAGGTAAGACCTTGGCAATATAAGTCACTGTCTTTGAAAATAGGAAGCAGAAAGAGGAAAGGTAGGAATTCCTTGGAGGAAATCAAAACGTGATAGCGGCAGGTTGTATATTTAAGCACACAAGCACTGTCATCAAGTGGTTAAAGTAGGTAATAAGGCATCAAAATGCTGATGGTTTATCGGAAACTTGCTCCTGGGTGCCCTTTAACCAGTTAATGTACAACGTGGCCACGTGCCCCCAGTCCCTATGTCGTACAGTTCCTGAACAGCCTGAACTACTTGGAGCTTCCAGCCTAACCAGTGTGAACACGGCTGCATGGTCAGAGCGTGGCTGAAAATCATCTGGCACTTTCAGAGGGAGCCAGCAAAGATGCTCACAAAATATTTTAGCAGGGCCACAGTTGTTGACTTCCAACAGACGTCAGTAACATTAACGGCAGAACTGCAAAAAGCACAACCAGGATCCAACTGGAGCTCTTTTGCAACCCGGGCTTCCCACCATTGGTTCTGCCTAATTACAATGGCTTATTACCACAACGCTCATTGCGTTCATTGAAGTACATCATGACATGAAGTATAAAGTTTCTTTTTTTTTTTTTTTTTTTTTTTTAAGCTTTTTATAATAGAAGACCTTAGGAGCAGTTTTAGGATAAGCACACGGAACTCTGACATAAGTTCACCTCTACAGCGCACAAACTGGATTGCTAGTAAAATCAATGGGAAATTCACATTTTGACAGTTTCCTGGTATTACTGACTTCTTAATCTGTTACAAAAAAGAAAGAAAAAGGAATCCATTGACCTATGAGAAGGTTATAGACAAGGTACATGAGAGGGTTTATTCACTTCCAAGTCACAAAGGACATTCATTGCAACAACAAGCATAATTAACGTGCTCCTCTGTTTCTTCTTATGCATTTCTCATTGCTTTATAAAAATGTTATACTTTGTGAGGAGCATGTGAGTTGAATTTGGTATTCTAGTGATGAAAATCTTGAACATTAGCTTCAATACTCTAATGTTTGTGGATCTCTAACATAGACATCAAATAAGACCATACTTTGGTTTCATTTCTCTAGTCTTGGAATTCGAACAGAAATAATTTCTAACTCCCCATTAAAAATGTTAAAGGAACTAAATTGTTAATTTAATTGAGAGTTCAAGCAGGAGTTGGACATTGTTTCCAGTAGTTTCATTACAGCACCGTGTCACTTAACTCTGAGAAAATAATCTTTTATTGATAATTCCATCTCCCCAGGTAACTTTCACTGAGCACAACTCATCTTTTCATACCAGATTCAAATCCAGTTTAGAGTTAGTTGCAGTTCATTTACAAGTAATTTGCTAGAAGGAGCCAAATCCCTTAATCCTTCTTTATACAGAAAGTTGCTGTTTACACTAGTCACATCACTGACTCCACTAAGATGACTCATGCAGTGAAGGCTTCGTCTGGATTAGACTAAACAGCCTTTTTTTTTTTTTTTTTTTTTTTTTTTAAGAAAAGAGAGAATTTTGAAAGACAGAGCAGAGCTAACATGTCTCTATCTAGTCTCCGGCATCTACCAAGAACACAAAACAAAGAGGCCGACTACCTGGTAAATACCCTTTGTACTTCCAGATGAAAGTGAGATAGTCAATATCTCTAAGTTAGAGATAGCAACCATTTCCAAACTGGAGGGGGGACGGGTTTGCTGTGCCAGGAACTGCAAGGCACAAGTTGGAAAACCCAAGGAGCGTCACGCTTCTAATAGCGCTGGTTGGAAGGGGCCCCGCGCGTCTCGGGGCTTAGGCAGAGAGAAGGCAGGAGCCCAGGTGAGGGTTCTGGGCAGAGCTGACCCGGCTCAGGCGCGGCACCTACTCCCCAGGGAACCCTCAGGATCCCGGCAGGGATCTGAACTGCTGCAGTTGCCTTTGGGAGCTTGAGGGAGACCACGCAACCCCATCTTTGTGTTACTGTAGGGTTAGAGCTAACTTCACCTATTGGTACCTCTACCTTGACAACAACCACTTTGGACTTAGTTTCTTAAAGAATATTCAAAGAACACTCATGGCTTTAATTACCAATGTGAATTTGAAATTGAAATCTAGACCAAATGGTGCAAGTGAAAGGGAAATCTTTGTGTGCGCCTGTGAGGGAGTGCACTTTTTTTTTCTTTTTTTTTTTTTTATTTTTCTTTTATTAAGATTATGCTTTCCCTTTACTCCTTTACAGCCTTTACTCCTGTAAGAATAGACTCAGATCAGTGTAGGCTGAAGCAGAGGTAAATCTAGATTAGCCCATCTTCACCAAACGCATACACAGCTCTATTGGCATCACAGCAGCTAAGCCAATTGACAGCTACGAATATATGCTTTAATCATTGTTTTAATCAAAGTTGATTTAATCAAAGATTAAAGGATTCATGTTCCCATCTATAAATCAACATTTCACCTAACTAGTGTGGGCAGAGCTGACTTGGCCATATATGTACATTAAACCCTGGTGATATTTTGGTACATGGCCTGCCGTGGAGAGCTGCCACCTCGTAACACCACATCAGATCTTAATTCTGTCACACTGTGACTCTGATTAAGAGGATAGGGAAGGGAAATGCAGAAAACGCCATAGTTGAGGTTGGTGAAACAAGGCACACAGAAATGGCTTATTTCCTGTAAACCTGTTGTGCATTTTTCAGCACTCTACATAAAGCCATGCTGCGGATTTGTGGTATTGCCAGGCACCCCGTAGCGAAGGGCAGGAGGGACCGCAGAGCTCATCCCTGGAGGCAGGGGACTGCCCTTTGAGGCCAGGCAGGTCCTAAACAGCCAGGCAGAGGCTGTTTGTGGAAGAGCGGAGCAGTCGCGTGCCGCGTGTGGGCACCGGTGCCCGCAGGGACCTGGGCAAGGGCTGCAAGATGCAGCCACAGGGAAGGAAGGAAGGAGGTGTTTCTCAGACTAGAACATGCCTCAAACTCAGGCAAGTTCTGTTTCAGAAAATAACAAGAATTTAATGACCCTTCTTTGGGCTGCGTTGAAGAGCTGCCCCGCTCCATGATTCCGCTGTTCAGCACCAGTGCTTAACTTCTATTCAGGTGTGAGCAGCTATCAACTGTTCACGATTCTGAGGCAAGAGGTCTCAGGCAGCCCATTCTACATATTGGGCCCAAATTTTTCCCAATATTTTTCCCTGCATTAGCAAATCAGCTGAGGCAGCTGTATCATGCAGATCATATTCCCTGTAGCGCCTTTTTTTTTTTTTTTTTTTTTTAGTAGATGGCTTGAGATACACTTTTTCTCAACAACAGTTTTAATTCTGTAGGATTCACATATCAATCTCTCCTGTAGTCTCTATGGGACATAGCAGTGGAAGGCCTAACACTTTGGGCAGAAGAGACCAGGAAAAAGAACAGTCTGAGAACGACAATAGACAGGTAATACACACAAACACACAGAGAAAAGCAATTTCCTCTGCCCTGTGCATCCCTTCGTGCAGCACACTGTTCATGCTGGGAGTATCTTAGACTTGTTGAATGGATTGTTGCAGAAAACAGCTTCACAGGCACATCATTAACACGTAATTACGAGAGCAGCTGTGCTCCATCTTGAGGAGTCATGCAGAACAATGACAACGCAGGCAACATTTCTCACTCTACTTATTTATCCTGTAGGAACAGCTATTTCCCTGTCAAAGTCGCTGTTAAAGAGGTAGCGGAGCGCAAAGTAAAGCATAAGACACCCCCAATATTTCGGATTTCGGTCCATGGACAACTTTCCAAGGAGCCTACAGATTCTTTGGGCAATGTCACCCCTGAGTCCAAGGCCCAGCATCACAAACTGTGGGAGGTGCAGCACTTAGAACACACTGTAGATGGGCAGATTTCATGAAGAAAGGTATAAAAATGAGGATCTGTGCAGAATTCCAAATAATAGAAATACAAGTGTGGTTACAGGAGTGTATATTTTTCTTTTCCCTAAACCATGAGTTGTACAAATAACTTATTTAATGTGACGCTAGATCTCAACATGCTTTGTAGCTAGTAAATCTCATACACACTACAAATTGATTTAGATAGAACTAGCGTTACTGGCAACACTAAATATATCTAATCTTTAAAGCTTATCCATGTATTTAATTCACACACTTCCTCAGTCGGGCAATTTTACTGCTGCAAGCCACCGATTTCACTTTTTGTTTGTTTGTTTTTGTTTGTGGTTGTTTTTTTTTTTTTTTTGGAAAGACGTTGTTTCTTATATCAAACTGGGTTATATAGCTGCACCTCATTTAAAACATTTAAGACATTCCTCTCCCTCACATTTCACTCCCAAGCATTCTCTAGGGCCCTATCCTGAGAGCTCCTATGGCAAATCCCTCCGTTATCACCGTGCAGTGGAAGTCCAAGCTGCCCGTCCTTTGGCCACAGCTGCAGGGACTTCGCCTGTTTTGCTCCCCATTTCAGTTCTTACAGCACAAGTCCCATGCTGTGCTATCAGGTGGAGACCTTTTTTTTTTTTTTTTCCTCCTCCTTTTTTTTTTCTTTTTTTTTTTCCCTTTTTTTTTTTTTTTTCCCCTCTTTTCCTCCCCCCCGCCTATTTTTGGGCCAAAATCTACTGCAGAGGAGGGAGACAAGTTGATGGGAAATGCATCCCCTTCTTATGCCCTCCAACTCCCTTCTCCGCTCAGTTCACTGCCTGAAGTCCCCCAAAGGCCGTTCCTTTGAGCACCAGCAAGGTGGGTGTGCAAGCGCCACCGCACACCACGGTGCCAGGGACACCCCTCCGTGCTCTGCTAGGGCACCGCGCTCCTCCTGCGCTGCCTTTCAGCCCCGCCACCTTCCCCTGTCCATCACTTTGCCACTTTCGCCACAAGAGAGCACTCGTTGTTTAACTACGCGACCCGGCATGCCTCAGAGGTGAGGTGAACGCATGTGGCTACCAATGGCCTAAACCTGGCACGCGTAGCTAGGGTGCACGGCAAAGAGGAGTCCCGGGACAGGCTGGAGTGCACAGGGTCCTTCAGACTGGATTCCTGCTTATCTTTATGTTTTCCCTAACCCTAAACCAGACTGTGTGGTTGAGCTGAAAGAACCCCATGCTTAGACACTACTGGTATTGAGTATCAATGCTCCGAGAGTTACTGATATCCGCACTTAAGGCTAGGGAACACCATCTACGGGCAGCAAGGCCTCTCAGTAGGCACCTGTTCACCTCAATAGGCTGCCAGCATGATCCGCTGCCTCCCTATTGACAGGGATCTATGTCAAGAGGTACCATGGAGATCTGTCAGCAACAATCCCCACCACAAGCCAGCCTTAACTCTTGGTCTTAGCTGTCATCGACAGCTTGCCCTCTTGGACCCGAGCTGCCCTCGTGTGCTCTGAAGCCCATCAACGTGGACCGTTGTTGGGATCGAGAGGCATGGAGGAGGATCCCATTTATTGACACTGGGAACTCTCCATATCAAGCTGTCCATGCCTGTCAAGTGCCATGCCTGTTGACGAGCATCAATATTAATCCTATGGCTATGTGTATCCACCCCAATAACATTTCATAATGTTTTTTTCCATTTCTTAGCCCGCTCTTGAATGGGCAGACCAAGTCCCTCAGTGTCATGACCGTGAGAGTAGCATGACAGCAGCCACCAGCCACAGGACAGGGCACACACATCCTGTGACATGGGGAGAGGAGGCCAGGGAGGAAGTGACTCGGCCCTGCTCTACTGGTTGTTGGCAGCAGTGACCTGTGTCATCCTTCCATCACGGCATGAGGCTGCGGTGCCTCAGAGCCACGAGGCACCCCGTGACTGCCACATCCGTGGTGGGCCCTCCTGCCCTGCCAGGCACTCATGGCTTCAGCAGCTCCCAGTGTGCGCTCATGGCATTCTGACCTGTGCCATATATGTGTGTAGTAAATACATTTATATATGCTACATGGAGACCGCTGGCCGAACCGATAACTCATTTCTAGTGACATCAACTGCGGAAGTTCAGTTCAAGAAAACAATAAAAACAAAAGCCGCCACGCGGCTCGGGGACAGATAAGTCGGCTGCCGCCTCAGGCGTTCCCGCCCGCACCCCAAGCGCCGCCCCAACGGCCGCCGCGCCCCGCCCCAACGGCCGCCGCGCCCCGCCCCAACGGCCGCCCCGCCCCTCGCAGCCACCTTAGCCGCGGCGACAGCGGCGCCGGGCGCAGAGCGGCGGCTGATGACGGCGACGATGGCGGCGGAGCGGGCCCGCGACGGCACCTGCCACTTCCAGCGCTCCAGGCTGCTCTGGATGATCGGCATCACCTTCGGCATGATCCTGCTCGGCGTAAGGAGCTGCGGCGCCCCGACCCTTCCCTCCTCCTCCCCCTCCCGTCGCGGGGCCCGGTATCCCTCGGCCCCGGCGCTGCTGCGGGGAGCTGGTCGCGGCTCCCTGGCCACCGGCGCGCAGGTGGCGGGAGAGCCGTGGGGCTTGCGGAGCAGGTTTGCGTAGGGGTCTCCGTGCGCACGGAGGAGGCAGTCGGTAAAGGGCGCTCGAAGCTAGAAGGGTTCGCAGGCCTGGCCAGTCGCCGAGGTTGCCCATCAGATCTGCCAAGAGAGGTCACGGAGAGGCTCCCCCGGCTTCCTGAGGAACCTGGGTCACGGCCCTGGAGCCCTGCAGCACCCTGGCACGCAGGGAGACCCGTGACAGCGCCCCGACCCTGCCAGCCTGGGTAGCTCCTTAAACGTGTAACCCTGCAAAGACATCTCGTCAGGGACACTCCCCCGGGAGAGCGGCCGCTTGAGCTAGCGAATAAGGCACAGAAACAAGCGAGGGCCGTAGTTTATGGACATTACAGCAGTTGTTGGAAAACAGCAGACTAGTTCAGCCGCTGTGTAGGCTTGGTGTCTTCAATCCTAAAAAAGGACTTCAGCTAACTAACTAAGGCAGGTCAGATTACTGTAGGGTGCAGATTAATGTCAGTTTTTATATGTCTAGCAAGGGCTTATGCAACCGTTGCATTGGCTTCCACCCATTGTATTTTTCTTCCTCTGTTTTTTTTGTGGACCTCTACATACAAGACCCACCATTTAAAAAAAAAGTCTATCAAGGATAGCCAGGCAGCTCACAGGACAACTTTCGTATTGTGTCAAGAAACAGAATAAGCTTCAAGCAAATTCTGTGGTTAGGTGCATCATCCTGGCCCTACATAACCCAAGTTAAATTATAGGATGGTTAGAAACTGTAACGTTGATACAAGTAAACTTTAGCCCAGCTTAGTACTTTACATTTCCAGTGGACTTTAAAATGCCCAGCTTGCCAACTATGCCTTCCTAGTCTATTCAATTAAAAGTAGAGGGTGGCGAGCACTGTGCATGTCAGTGCCACAGAGACAGCTCTCCGGAGGAAGATACCCAAACACAACATTGCATCTCTGGCCTCGAGTTTCATGCTGGATAGCTCTCTGTGCTTTTGTTCTCTAAAATACTATTGTGAATTGTGAACTTCTCTTTGAGGGAAAGAAGAAACAACAATTGATCCTGTAGTTTTAAGTATTTTTAAAAGTATTTCTCGTTTGCTGTCTAGTTGCTGTTTGAACTCTTCAGGACCAACTTCTTTGTCTGCTATCATTTGTAATGGATAACAGACTTACAAATTAAGTGTCAATGTGCAGATGCACGCTTGGTACACAGATAGCAACTCATCAGCAGAGGAGGTGTCATAGGTTTTGAATCCTCTTAGGCAAGTGTGCTCTAGTAATCTTGCTGTTAAGAGAGAACATGGGTCTTGAACAAGGTTAAAAAAATGAACAAGTTGCAATACCATAATTTAAGCAAACTCCAACTCATGTTAAACAGACAAGGGGAGAACAATGAGAAAGCTGAAGATTAAAATTGTTAATAATTCTACACTGAAGTATGCTAACTCTGATCTTGTTTTTGTTTTTTAGTGGGTGACACTTTCGCCTTCAACCATACCTTACACTTACTTGGGAGTATTTGGTAGCTTTCTTAATTTTTTAGTGAAGAATTACCACAAGTGGGTATGCTATGGGTAAGTCATTTGGCTATTTAATTTCTTTACAATCTCTCTTGCTGCTTCTCTCCATCTTCCTCTGCTTAGTCTGCGTTAACAAGCTTTCCCTTAACCCAGTTGTTAATTACATTTAAAGAGCTCTCATTTCAAGCTCTATACGACTAGGGGAATGATGCAAAAAATAGGTTGGAGAACAGATGGGCCAAGGCTAGTCTGAAAGGTCAGAACTCGACCTAGGATTTGGCATCTATCTCATTACAGTGAGAGAAGAAAAAAGTTAAGATGCTGCTTCTGGAGACAGTTAATAGTGCATATTTAAGCGGTAATATCCTGCCTCTTGTCAACTTGTTACTCTGGTAATCTTCGTCCTTTGTTTAGGAGTCTTCTAGTACTCCCCTTTTCCCAACTTCAACTAAAGAACACTTCATATGATACTAACAACTGATCCTCACCACAAGCTAAGAGTTGAAGAACACTTTCCTGTATCTAGGTCTCTGACTCACTGACTGTAAATGGGATCTCACACTGGTTTAACTTGTTCCTTATCATGCACTGTATAGAAGAGAGTTGCAGCTATTGTGGGTAGAAAGTTAGGCTGTGCGTACTTAACTGGATCAACTTGTGTTGCATGCGGCAAGCATTTGGCTTAATTCAAGTGTTGAAAGTTTTAAAAATATGCAGTGAATGCTTGAAGTGGCAGGTCTAGGTGTATTGCATGAGTTTCATGCATTCTGTAACTTTTGCTATGGACTTGAGTTTCTTTTAAGACAATACATTTTTTTTTCCCTCCCATAACATGCTTCTAAGATAAGAAACATACCTCGTTTTCTAGCTTAAAGCTTAGTAATACTTCTGTGTTTACGGTTGTAAATTCTCTGCAAAATGGATTTTGTATACAATGGTCTCCTTGTTATTTTCAATAAAACATTCTTTCTTTTCATTAGGTTCTGGGTATCCTGGCTGATTCATATAGTAGAAGCCTTCTACGGTGTTAAGCTATGCCAGTAAGTTGTTGCACTCCCCTGCGCCACTTAAGTTCTCTGGAAAGGAATTCACATGCAGTGACCCAAATGACAAACTGATTTTGGCAATTGTCAATTGTGGTACAAGTCCTGAGGACCCTGATAAGATTATTAAATTCTGGCTGCAGTGATAATTTGCTAGCAAGAGGTTACTGTCTCTACAACTGAGTTGGGCCTGTGCTCAGCGGCCCTAGATCGGGTATTGTGACTTAAGCCATTCCTCATTGCCAGCAAATTTGTCACCTGGCCACAGACACTACGGGCTCGGTGCTGTGCTGTTGTGCAAGGTGTCGAAGGTGGGAGGTGGTAACTCACAGAACTTGCGGCAGAGAAGGCTGCCAGAAGGTGTCCATGCATTTCAGCACACTGTTCTTTAGCTAACTGCTTTCAAGAACAGTTCATTAGAACTATTTAGAACAGAATATTTTGTTCTTGATTATTAGCTCAGGTACCGTGTTCATAGTATTTAAGGAAGCAGTGAAGACAAGTAGTAAATTACAAATAATCAGTTAATGCTTGATGAGAAAAATCAAACACCTGAACTTTAAGACTGCTAGTTACCCTCTTAAATAGGCTGTATCCCTATTATGAAAATACAGTCCAGGCTGGGTAGTTAAGATCTTGTTGTATCTCTAGAGGTTTGTGGGATAAAACACTGAGACTAATGGGGCCATAAATTGGACTGTAAGGCAAACAAATCTTGTGTCAGGACAACAAATTATTGAAAAAAGTATATGCTGTCCTATCACATAATTCACATATTTATTTGGATTTTTCTTAGAGTATTTCAGAAGAATATAGCTGTGCCATTTCATGCTAATTCTTTTTTAATTTTTGGGCCCTGTACAAAGTAGATGAGAAGTCTATTTGCTGTTATCAAAACTAGATGTATTCTGCCCTCACTTACCTCAAACTTGGTCTCTCACAAGTCTCTTGAAGTCAAGAGACGTTACCTGAGAAGACTTTGTTCCCCGAAAGCTTTCTAATCTTGTTCTCAAGATAATAGAATATGGATGAGATTATTTGTTGTTGTTTTGTATTTTATTTTATTTTTCCCCTGCCCCCAAAATGGAAATTAGTAAGAAAATGCGTTTACAAAGCTCCAGATTAAGTTGCAGCCTTCAAGGTAAACTATTCTGATTCAGAGGACAGACTGTAGGTATAGGGGCTCAAGGTGACTTTAAGCATGAAGGAAGCTTCATTAACAGTGAACATACTAACTAGATGGGCACGTTGTAATCAAGTTACGTGATGAAGTCTTACGGAGGAATGATTAAAACTAGAAGTGAATCAGCATTGTTTGTTTGCCCAGCATCTCTCTTTCCAGGCATATTTCTGTAGTTTAATCAATAGCTATATTTGCTATTAACACTAAACACGATAGTAATTTTACTGATGCAAAAGATGAATTATGCCTGTGACCACCACTAAGAAAGCTTGAGAAACAACTAGAGAGGAAGTAGATGTTACAGATTTATTAATAAATAGCTTTACTTTCAGCTGGTTGTCTACACTTGTGCGCATGTTCTCTCCAAGTGTGTTTATTTTATATAAGCAGATTAAAATCTTAAATCCTAGTTTTCAGGTTTTCTGCACTCGGTTGAAAACACTGCAGCTCTGATTATAAAAAAATCCTTTCACAGCTGTTAAGAAATGAAATGTAAGAGCCTGTGTTAATCAACATGGGCTACATCTACATTTTCTATGTATAGATGATGCCAAACAATGAACAGCTGAACTGTTCTAGCATAGGTCAGTAGAGGGAGCTCCCTTGTAAATTAACAAGTTAGATCAAAGTTGAAGATGGGTCAAGACTTTAACCTTACTTTACAAGTGTAGTCTACAATACTAGTTTTAAAACATGTCATATTTTTTCTTACAGGACTAAAGGCATCACTGACCCAGCAGTTCAGTTCCAGTGGTTCATTCAGACACTTTTATTTGGATATGCTTCTTTTGGCCTCCTCGTGTCTTACAAGCCTCCAATCAAGAAGTACTACTAGAAGAATTAGAGAAGTCTCTTACATTCTTCACATACATTTTTGTTAGAAAATAACCTCACTTACATGTCTAGGTGCTGTAATTAACTAAATTACATTCCTGCTGTGTGATGCAATGCCATCAAACAACTCTTCTTGCTAGATGAGGCACTTATAGCTATAAGTCACTGGGCCCTGTAGATAGTTCAGTAGAAATTTAGCCCTTCAGTCTGGGGCTGCCAACTTTTAAAGCCGTTTATTATGCAAGCACCCCAATGTTGTTCATGGGCAGTTCATGTTGTTCATGACCTAGCTTATCTTCTCAGGTATTCACTGAAGAGGAGAATCCCTAACAGATGGTAGTTGTGGTTGCTGAGTTGCCTTTTTTAGTGTGGAGGAATTGTTCTTCATAACAAGGAAAGTTATTTACAGCCACAAGGCTATTTTGTGATAGGATTTCCTTTTCCTACATTTTCTTTACAGGAACTTTTAATAGCATTACATGCTTTTGTGGTTATACTTGGTCTTTGTTAAACTGTTTTTTCCCCCTACAAGGGTCAGACCACTTTACTGCTGCAGGCACATTAAAAGCAAGCAAGTCTCACTTCAGGTTGAGGTGCAGTGGTGAGCCAGGATACATAAAGCACCTCAGCTTGGTTTATACATGTGCCTTAAGCTGTATGCAGCATGACCATCTCTTTTTGAACGAAGATCTTAATCCTTGACTTAGTATAGCTTGACAAAGTAATCCTGTAACTTTGAGGGCAGCTTTTATGAAAAAGCTTACTAGTCAAGGAAGGAGTTAAAAAAGTTAACATTCCAGAACATAGGTGAACATTTATGGATGAAAAGCAGATGTATTGAGTAAATGTGCGCCACTGCTAGACAGATGTCGATGTATCAAAATCTTTACAGAGACTATCTTCAGTATCCCTTAATGTTCTTTATGTGTAGTGAGTCTATTCTGTTATATTTTAAGTATTTGAAAAATAGCTTATCTTGTTTTAGCACTTCTAAGGAGTAATGGTTATTTAAAATGTTATGCTGTGGGGAGTTTCACCTCATCACCTGTGGTGCTGCTGCTCTAGAAGAGAGGCCAGAAAAAAGGAGTTCTCCCCTGACAAAAACCCCAGTGAGGGAGTAACAAGTAAATGTGTCTTGTGCAGTACCTACAGACAACACTGCTGATGGAGAAGTCTCCCTTGAGTACAGACACATTCTTTTAATTATTATTTTGCTTCTCAGTTGGTATTAGAAGCATGGAGAACTGAAGGAGTTGAAGTGGGTTTATTTTAAAAGTGGTCATCTGGTAAAATTAGCATCATCTAGAGAAATGGAAAGCCAGGTTGAGTGGCTAGAAATCCACAGCTGTGTCAAGAGCCTGGGCTGTGTTTTAGTGTGCAACTTTATCCTGTTGATCCTTGAAGAATAAAGATTTAAATATATATATATATATATCCTTTATTTACCCTGGAAACAAGTGTTTGTGCAAAATACTTTTCCTGATTACTTATCTTCACAAACTGAGTACTCACACTTTGATCACAACTGTCTTTGCGCTTTCCAAAACAAGTCCCGAGAAGCCTAGTATTTCTGCACAGTAGTTACCTCACTAGCTCATTGTTTCATTGCGAAACATTCACAGCCCTCAGAATTTCCCTTTGTGCCAAGAGATACGTAGGCATGGCATCACGCATATCAAGAGGAGTTCTAGTTCAATTTCATCAAAAACAAATAATAAAAAAGCACTGCTAAGCTAGAAACAAGTTTGAGGAGGACAGCGGCCCTGGCAAGTGTTCCGGCAGCCTCTCTGTTGGTCTTCGAGCCCCTCTGTCGTCTCCGCGCTGCGTGGCCGTGGGGGCGAGAGGCGCAGCTACCTCGCCCTCATCTGCCTACCAGCAGCTCTCCCTCCCTGCTCGTGCTTGGCAGCCAGGCAGATTTCCCAGCTGTAATTACATTTTGCAAGTGTTTAATCCCAGCCTCTGTGCCCAGGCTGTAAGCAGCACTGATGCCTGCCCTGTGGTGTCTGCAAAGCTCAGGAGAGCCCCGACTCACACGCAGCGCAGGGTAAGCGATGCTAGGGCGCTTAATTTAAAATGCAAAGGAGCCCTGGGGGCTGGGGGAGGAAAAAGCACACAGAGGGACAAGGTCCCAAACCGTCTGCAGATCAATAGCAGCAAGGTGCCATTTCTGAATTTTTGCCATGTCCTTAACACATGAGCAAGATGAGCATACCAGAACTTAAACAAGCAAACTACCAAAACACCACAATTTCACAACAAGCTGCAGAAGCATGAATCCAAGTCACGAACTCATTAAGTCCGTAGAAAGGCTCTCCCAGCCAGTAAAAGGTTCTTCGGAAGCAGATCTAATTACACCAAGGGAAGTGTTTCTGTGGGTTACCGTAATCACATTTATTACATTTAAGCGTGTGGAGGAATTCTTTGATGTGCAGCCAAACATTCTCTCCCCCAGGTCCAAAGAATCATTTTCACTATCAGATCACACAGTGCGAGAGCACACGGGAGGAAAGGCAAAGCCCTTCCTTAGAGACGTGAATCAGCTCCATACCAACGGGCTTCGTAAGGACCTCTGCTCAAACGCCACTCTGCTGCTGAGAGGAGCACAGGTTTGGGACAGCAGGGCAGTGCAGAGGCCCTGCTAGTCCTGGGCAGGCAGGATGCGACACCTCCAGTGTGTTCCCAAGAGCCAGTCTAGAGCCTTAAGGGCTGTTGCTCTTTCTTTTTTTTCCCCAAAGAGAATAATGGAAAAACACCCTCATGATGCCTTGTCTGAGCTTGGAGTTCTCCAGTTCTGACCTAGACTTCTCTAAAATCACCAGGAACCCGCTGTGCCAGCCTTTGGGAATACCTGAGCGTTTGCAGGGGCAGCAGAAAGGGCAAGTCCTTTATAGGAATGTGGGAAGTTGTAGAGGAATAGAGCCCTGGAGAGAGCTATTGGCTCCCAGACTTTAGGGCTTCCAGGTAACCAGTAAGGAATAACAGCAATAACAAGGCAACTAACATGGTAGTATTTCCACAAACCAGAAAGTTGAAGTTATATATTCCTTCTGTACTTACTCCCATCTTTCGTCAAATGTGAGGCTATACCTGCTCTTGCTTTTAGTTACAGCCCTGTTGTACATGAGCACTCAACAATGCCATCCAACTTATTTAAATATATACAAGTCTATGCAGTTTAAAAAAAAGAAAAAAGAATAAAAAGGAAATACTTGGCTGTTTTTCTTCTCAGATTTGCCAGAGAACTTCTGCCACTTTTCTCTCCAAAACAAAACAGAGGTGTCTCTTGAAAGCACAGACCTGTTTACCTAGCTCCAAGACCAGACAAGCTAAAACATCTCTCTAGAGAAACTCAGAGAACTTATTACAAAACCAAACACCTTTCAGGAACTTGAAATTTTAAAGATTCAGCCTTAGGAAAGGAAACAAAACCAAGTACCTGCTTAGAGGAGCTTCCAGGCACAAGCAGCCACAGCCCGGCAGAGCTCCCCCGATAAGACCAGAGCAGCCCCTCAGCTGCACTTGATCTCACCCTGCTTCCTAGAGACTTCCCCCACTCTGTTTTTCCCTAAAGAGAGAGGGCACGGGTTCAAGGACCCTGCCATGTGTGCTCAACAATTAAGACATTCACATTTTATTAGAAAGTTTTCCAAGCATAAGCACTTATTTTTGTTGCAGTCTTACTTACCAAATATCTTGTGCCCTTGACTAATGGGAAATTCATTATTCCAGAAGGTCAAGAAGTTCTGCAAAATTCCTGCTCCCATGGGATGTGTTGCAAAGTTGGGAGCTTACCAAAGCAAAAGGTTGTAAGGTAAACAGTCTGTAAAGGGTTCTGTCCTGTACAAGGACCCAAAGCTGTGGTGTTCACCTGCCCCAGCGGCAGCCCACAGCCAGGCTTGCACCAAGGAGGGGACTCCCCACCGGGATCTGTGACAAAGAAAGGGAAAAAAATAAACTTTGAATTTTAATGCAACCAGTACCATATGAGAGGATAACAAATCTCCCACTGCTGAGATGCCATAGTGTTATTTTAATTACTTTTTTTTTTTTCCAAGAAAGTAAATACAACTCTCAGATATATTTCTTTTCTTGATGGTTTCACAACCTGTAGATTTGTTTTATAAAATTATCAGAGTTACATTTTTTCAGGGTACATAGGAGCACTCTATACAAAAATACTTCTTTAAATAAGACATTTTACAATACATGACTAAACCTTTGAAATACCCTAGTCCTGTTAATGATGCAAAAATATTGGTAGTATAGGTATTTCCATATTCTTTCAAACTGCACACATTCATCTAAAAGTTCAGTATCTTTCTCTTGGAAGTTTTCCATCTTAGCTTTAAAAATCAATGGGCTTATATAAAAGCAACATAGAATGGAAATTAACTCTGGTATCATAATATTAACATGCAAGGACTTACCACTGAAAAATGTTCTACAGTTTATGCTTATATCTAATACAAAATATAACCAAACTGCACATCATGTATGACACATTAAGTGAAGTCTAGATTTCTTTCCATTATGTTTTAAAACAAATTTTCAAATGCAGACAGTGATTTATTTTTGATTGTTTCTATTTTAGCCTTTATTTTTGACTGTCTTATCTGCTGCCCCTTTTCGTTCTGGCTTTACGAAGAGCAGCTAAATGCAATTCCTGCTGATTAGAAATGAAGCTGTTAATGCTCTGTGTGTCTGCAAAAATAAAGTCCAGAATAATGCAGAATGGTAAATAAAACGTTCAGACAGAAGCCGCCATTGGCCACTACCAAGAACAGTGGGTATAAAACCTAATTTTCTTCTCACTTGGGTACTGCAACCACCTCTGAATTTCCCGAGAGTTTGGGCAACGAAGATGGTAATTAGGCCCTTATTTGTGTATTTACATCCCAAATTCAGCTCCTCGATGAAGTGGTTGGTCACTGCAACAAGTAACTGGTACACATCATCTATTCTTTAATCATATATTTCTATACACATTTTTTAAACTCTCCTGATCGTGAAATAAGAGTCACATCTGACAGCATGGGATTTACAGGGAATATTTTGATGCCAAGATGTGGTGATCATTCTGGCCAGGAAAAAAAGGAGGCACACTAATCTCTGGAGCATCAAAAATGTTTCATGTGCAAATAACACGGTCCTTTCAAAAAGGTTCCAAGCTAGTGAACTTCTGTTATTTCCCCACCATTTGTGACAGCCTCTTCTTCTCCCTAGCATCTTCATAAGCTACTCTATAAAGGAATGAAGAGCCTCTTTTTATATATCTGTATCTCTCTGTATAGCAGATAGCATATAGTCAAGATACATACAAGATATTCAGCTCACTCCTTGTAGACCACTAGGATCATCTGCTCAGGCTTGTTTTAACACTTTAAGCGATGCTCCTTCTAGCCTACAAATGGACTAAAATAACAGGGGGGCAGAGAAAATTGTACCTCTCTGCCCTCACAAGAGCCTCTGCCCTTCCACCTGAGATTTTCAGTGTGCTCTGGAGACAGAAATCTTACACTGTGAAACCACAAGAAGAAACCTGTTAGCATGGACACTCCTAACTACTGAGGGGAACCAAAAATGGCAGCTCCCTTTATTTAATATGAAAGCAAGAGGGAACCATCATGGGCTTGCTGCATCTTTCTCACCGAGCTCTGTATATGGGGCCTCAAAGATTTGTTCTCACACAGCCTGAGGAAACACTTCCTCTGACTTTACAGGCTTTAGAACTGGGCCTTCCTAGGGCATCCTTAAACGCACATCTATTTGATACGTTTAATTATCAACCTGATATTCTAGAGATAGGATTAGGACCTCTCATTAAAATATATACAAACCAAAATTTGGGGCAATCCTGCTTAAATGCAGTGGTTTATATCGGCTCTCTTGCAGCTGCCCATAAATCGAATTTTGCCCAATTGGAAAGCTGTCTAAGGTCTAAGTATGCTTAGAAATGGGACAGAGTTTCTCTTCGATCTCTTGCCATCCCACTATATTCCCTTATGAGCAGGTCTCTGTCACTAGCGATGAACATGGTATTCAGGTCAAAGTGTTCTTTCTTAATGGCATTAGCCACTTACTTAAGACTTGGGCTCCTCTTCCTCGGGAGCTGTCATTGTTTATTAACATGTGGTCTTTAAATATGTTTCACTCTTAACAGTGCACTTAATCTGCCAGGTGAGATGAATAGAATCTGCTTTAGACAGACTAAGATGATCACAAAAGTCACGTCTTTTTATTCATAAAGGAAAATAGCCATTTTATATGTTGCTTGTTATACTGAGTGCCTTGTTATACTGAGTGTTCTGCATATGACATCTAGTTATATTCAGGACATGGCTTTTATAGCTGCAACATCTT